GTTTGATCAGATGATTGCCTGTGCTACTCATATGTTTTTTTCTAGTAGAATTTACACTTATAATATGACAACTATTCTTTGTGCAATGAATTTGACCACTTCTTAATGTCATTCATTGACAAGTCAAAAATAATATATTTGGTTGAGTTTTATACAGTAGCAAGGGGGGAGAACTTAATCCAATAATGACATAATTACCAATAAAATACAGTTATACCCTAGCTATGCCATAGTTTCCCCTATATATAACACAGTTGAAGGTCAAGAAACCAGAAAAACCCTATGAAATCACCAAAATAGGCATCCAAAGGCCAACTTTAGAGATCATGAACTTTTCCTACAGGACAGCCCCTAGGACCTCATTTTGGCCTTTTTACTCTCTGACATTTTTCTCACTGGATTCTAAATCAATAGTAAATCCAAGGCATCAAACAAGAAAAGGCAAAAAGCTCTTCTGAGTGGTTCCTCAGCAATAACAGGAGAACCACTGACCTAAGAGTACTCATGTGTCAAGGAATCCCCTCCTAAAATATATACTTGGAGTCAGTCTTCACTTTTCCTATCTGAGTCTTTTAGTTGCTCCCATTAGTCATTACTATTTATATATCTGGTACTATAGGGAAATGCTCACATCAGTTGAGATTCACAGTATCAACTTTTAGAACATTTTCCTTTAGGAAAGAGGTTCTTAATCTTTTCTTTCTTTCCTTTTCTTTTTTTTTTTTTTGAGACAGAGCCTCAAGCTGTCCCCCTGGGTAAAGTGCCATGGCATCACAGCTCACAGTAACCTCCAACTCCTGGGCTCAAGAGAGTCTCCTGCCTCCTCCTCCCAAGTAGCTGGGACTACAGGCACCTGCCACAACGCCTGGCTATTTTTTGGTTGCTGCCATCATTGTTGTCTGGTGGGTCCGGGCTGGATTCAAACCCGCCAGCTCAGGTGTATGTGGCTGGTGCCTTAGCCGCTTGAGCCACAGGTGCCGAGCCTCTTAATCTTTTCTGAGATCACAAATTATTTCGAGAATCTGATTTCAAAAAACATACTTATCTACCTAACATTTTCATATGATCTTAGGGAATTAATTCACTGACTTTCTGAAGCCAATCAATAAATATCTAGGAGACCATGCACCCCAAATTAAAAACTTCTATATCAGGTGCCAACAATGCGTATGTTTAAGTTCATAAAACTTTGTATTTTATTCAGAATGATTCCCAGTGATTTTTTTTAAATGATGATGAGCTAAGCAACATAATAAATGCTTAATTAACATGAATAAACACGACCTCCAAAGCAATACTAATAAATACAGTTTAGAAAAGATGATTATTATAGCAAGTTTCTTTTAAGAAAAAAGTGGCTAGGCTCAGCACCTGTAGCTCAAGCAGCTAAGGTGCCAACCACATATAACAGAGTAGGCAGGTTCAAATACAGCCCAACCCTGCCAAACAACAATGACAACTGCAACAAAAAAATAGCCAGGCGTTGTGGCAGGTGCCTATAGTCCCAGCTACATGGGAGGCTGAGGCAAGGGAATCGCTTAAGCCCAGGAGTTGGAGGTTGCTGTGAGCTGTGATGGGCCGCCGCACTCTACCCAGGGTGACAGCTTGAGGTTCTGTCTCAAAAAAAAAAAAAAAAAAGTGGCTAAAGAGAGACAAAAATGAAAGAGAAATATTCTGCAAGTACTTTAAACATTTATCTACCTTTGTAGCAAAATTCAGTAAAGTAAATATGTTTTTCTCTAAATTGGTCAGCAAAGATAATTCCTAAGACTGCCAAGTCTCAAAAGTGACCTAGTAACTACTAAGACAAAGTATCATTTTTATGGTTAAGAGCACTGGCCTAGGAAATGGATCCAGAACTCAGAACAGTTTTGTCACTGACCATGTATATAGCCTTGAACAATAAATTCTCTAAGCCTCAGCTTTCTTTATCTCTAAACAGAATAAACTGGCTCAAAGGGCGGCTGTGCTGATTTTTTTTTTTTTTTTTAAGGCAGCATCTAACTCATTGGTGCCAGGTAGAGTGCAGTGGCATCATCAGAACTTACTGTAACCTCAAACTCCTAGGCTCAAATGATCTCCTGCCTCAGTCTCTTGGGTAGCTAGGACTATAAGCAGCACCAACATGGCTGGCTAATTTTTCTATTTTTAGTAGAGACAGGGTCTCGCTTTTGCTTGGGCTGGTCTTGAACTACCATCTCAAACCATCCTTCCACCTTGGCCTCCCAGAGTGCTAGGATTACAGGCCTAGGATTACAGCCTGCTGTGCTGATTAAATGAGACAATATACATCAACATACATCAGTGGTCAGTAAACGGTGGTTATTAGTTATTATTTAACTTCAATCAACTAACTTTTTGTGTAGGGATTTAGTTTACAAAGTGTTACCAAATATATGATCTCTTGTGATTCTAACAGTGAAGAACCACTGTATCTCCATTTTACAATGGAAGAAACTGAAGGCAAATGATTTATCCAAAGATACTAATTAGCAGGGAAAGAATTCTGGACTCTTTGATTACAGTAAAAAGCATGACTCCAAACTCCTTTCCCCCCCAAAAGCTTAGAAGCTCTCCTTTAAAAATTCTAATCTTTTTCTTTTTTATTTTATATATTTATTTAGAGAGTCTCTCATTATGTTGCCCAAACTGAAGACAGTAGGTCATCAAAGTTCACAGCAACCTCGAACTCCTCAGCTCAACCCATCCTCCTGCTTCAGCCTCCTGAATAGCTGGGACTACACGTGAGTGCCACCACAACTGGCTAATATTTTATATTTTTAGTAGCGGCAGAGTTTCCCTCTTGCTAAGGCTGGTCTCAAGCCCCTGACGTCAACCGATCTTCCCACCTCAGCCTCCCAGAGTGCTAAGATTACAGGCATAAGCCAGTTCATCTGGCCCTTTTAATTCTTTTTATTGCTGTTAAATATAAACAAATTTTACCATTTTAACCATTTGAAGTGTACAGTTCTAGGGGATTAAGTACTTTCACATTGTTGCGCAACCACCACCACCATCCATGCCCAGAATTTTTTCATCTTTCCCAAATGAAACTTTGTATTCATGAAACACAAATTTACCATCTCCTCCACTTCAATCCCTAGCAACCACTTCCTGTCTCTGAATTTGACTACTGTAAGTACCTCATATAAATGAAACCATACAGTATTTGTGTTTTTGTGACTGGTTTATTAGAAAAATGTCTTCAAGGTTCATTCATGTGTCACACTTTCCTTCCTCTTTAAGACCAAATATTTATACATACATACATCTACCACATTTTGTTTTTCCATTCACCCATCCATGGATGCTTGGATTGCTTCCACCACCTATTTTTAAAGTATTATTAACATTTTAAAAGTGAGATTGGTTATCTAGAGTCAAACTATTCACTCCTTTCCTTATCTTCCACTCCATTTGTCCCTCCCTGTTCAGAGAGAAAATGCAAAGAGGGGTGGAGTGTTCAACCTGTGGCTGGTGGGCCACATGTAGATTTTGTGAGGACTATTTTTTGCTTATCTGTAGTGGTGGATATCACAAAACCTATGCTGCATGAACCATGAACCTTTTTTTCTTTCCTTTTTTTTTTTGCTCATCAGCTCTTGTTAGGGTTTATGTATTTAATGTGTGGCCCAAGACAACTTATCTTCTTCCAGTGTGGAGCAGAGAAACCAACAGGTTGGACATGCCTGGTAGAGTTTACAGTGCAAGGCAGTAAAACCAGTTATTCTTTTTTCTTTCTCTCTTTTCTGTTTTTTAATAACTCGACCAGGAATCAACACAAAAGATAAAAACTAAAACTCAAAGGAGTTTAATTCAATTTGGGAGAAATAGAAGGCAAAACATCAATTAATATAATAAATTAGGTGTAAGATCACCTATAACACATTTTGTGGAATGCTATTTTCTGGACCTTTAATAAGGAATAAAAGAAAATCTCCACTATTGGACAAGAAATTAAAATGTCAGTAGCTGTGCTTAAGCGCTAAGTGACTTTACTGAAGCTACTGAGAGTGAGTGCCAATACACTAACACAGACCAAATTGTAGCTATCTAAAGTAACCTTAAACCACTTCATTGGCTTAAGGATACAAGGTGAAATAGTAAAGAGTTTCCCTACTTTGAGCTTTATAGTTGTGATGGGAGATTAACCACAAGCTTTAGCACACACAATTCTCAGAAGCAGCTAAAGCACAATGGAAGAGAATGACAACTCTAGAAATTTCAAAAACATTAACTTAAAGACGCATTCAAACCTTTGTACTTTGGTGAATGAAGGTGTGCACCGCAGGCTCGGAGCTGTGAGCACCCAGTAGTACAGGGGGATGTGGGGGGCGGAAGGGAGAGAGAGAGAGATGAGAAGAAAGAAAGGGAGAGGAAACAGCTAAACTATGAGAGAGAGAGAGAGAGAGAGAGAGAGAGAGATGAGAAGAAAGAAAGGGAGAGGAAACAGCTAAACTACCGAAATCTTCTGAAGTAACTCCAGACTAAAACTAACAGGCACGAAGAACGAACTACCTTACTTTGTGTGAACTGATTGCAACAGAAACTTACAGTTAGGCGAAAATATATTTAGAACAAAACCACCACCACGGGAGGTTGGTGACCAGCAGGACCCACAGGGAGTCTCCAACATTTGCGGCCGCTGTTCCCATTCTATCGAGCACCCTTTACCCCAGTCTCCTGAGTGCCAAATGGCTCGGCGGTCATTCAGTCCGCGGTTACGGACAACTTCTCTAGACGACCCCACTTTCAGATTCCTTCAAAGTTTACCAGAAAGTCTTCCAAAGGATTCTGTCCACCCCACCGCCGGACACTTTCTACCTCAACAAATCATCCCACACTATCGCCCCTCTCTCCGGACGCCTGGAGACCGCCAAGCACGCAGGCTGCGCTTCCACCCTCCCTCGCTTGTTTGCTCCCCAGGATGGGGAAGCGACTGCTTGGAAAGCAAACTTTCTCAGCGTTTGAGGAGGCGGGAGGGGGCACCGCGGACTTACAGCTGGTTGATGGCGTTCTGCGAGATGACCGCGTTGGCGGAGAAGTAAGGGATCATGTCGGGGCCACCGAGGCTGCAGGTGCAGGCGAGGGGCGGCTTCCTTTTGCGAGCCAACGTGCTCAGAGTCATGGGGCCGGCTCAAAACTCCGCATCGTGGCCCCTGCCCGACTCGGCCACGAAGCGCTCTCGCTAGACTACTCCAGGCAGAGGCGCAGGCGGCACGGCCACCCGGCGGTGAAGCTTACTCGCGGATCGCGCCCAGGCAGCCGCCGAAGCCCTGGGGCTCGGCTGCAGAGTCTGGGCGGCCAGGCGCCACCAGCAGCCTGCCCCCACCGCGTCCGGGGCGGGGCGCACGGCGCGGCGGGGCGGGGCGGAGGAGTGTCCTGGGCGCTAGGGGGGTGGGACCGGCCGGCGTCCCGCCCCCAAGCTCGCGCCGCCCACGCGGGTCCCACCCAGAGCGTCCGGGGCTGGGAGGGAAGGGCCTGCCCCAAGGGCCTGCCCCAAGGTGCCGCAGTTTAGGCCAGGGAGTGAAGGGTGCCGGGGTGCAGGGATAGTGACAAAAGCTCTTATTTCTCTAAGGCGAACTTTTTTTTGTTTTTTTGAGACAGAGTCTCAAGCTGTCGCCCTCAGTAGAGTACTATGTGTCATAGCTCACAGCAACCTCCAACTCCTGGGCTCAAGCGATCCTCTTGCCTCAGTTTTTCTATTTTTAGTAAAGACCGGGTCTCACTTTTGCTCAAGCAATCCAGCCGCCTCGGCCTCCCAGAGTGCCAGGATTACAGACGTGAGCCACCGCGCCTGGCCACTCAGGCGGACTTTTAACGGAAAAGTTCTGCCTCTTATCCGGTTTGATATACATTGTTTCTCGAACAAACCCATTTTTTTAATGATCTAAAAAAAATTAAAGGTCACATATTCACAAACGCAAAAAATATTTATGAACGGCTTCCTATGTGCTGAGAAAATTCAGAGATTTATTTTCTTTTAACGGTTGAGTTTATAGTTTTACACTGTCAGTAACATCTACTTAAAGTACTTTGTAAATACATTTATAGAGGGGCTTTCCGGCCGTCACTGCAAATCAAGGATTCACAGACTTAGCTGCACATGAGTTATCTGTGGAGATTTTAAAAAACCCCAATGCCCAAGCTGCACCATAGACCAATCAAATCGCAGTCTCTTCCGGGTGGGATTTAAATGTCTTTTTCAAAGCTTTCTCGGTGATTTCAAAGTGCTGCCATGGTTAAAAAGGCAGGTTAGGCAAGTTAGAGGTTATGGTGTACAGACATGGTGTAGGCAGATGACCTCGTTTGTAAATAATGGCAGGAATCTAAATTTTTATGACTCTTGATCTTTTACCACCAAACGGTATATATACTCTGATCCCTTTGTTGGGGTTTATGCCCTTAGTACACCTTTACCGCGTTCCTTCCAACTCACAGAACAGTGCCTTTCGCCTGACCAGGAAGCACCGCCTCTATGTAAAATGACTCCATCTCTCTGTGTTCTGTATGCTATGTAGGGGCTTACAAGAGAAGCTGGCAGGGAGCAGATAAGTTAGCACTTTTATCTTTTACCTTTTCAGGTGTCATAATGCCAGAGCAAATATTTTCAGGAACCAGCATTTTTTTTTTTTTTTTTTTTTTTT